TTGAAGATTTGCTTTGATTTCTCTCTTCTCTAAGCTTGACCGTAGACCTGCATCATTTTCTGGATACATAGTGGCATATCGTCTTATTGAATGCTAAAGCCCTCTCAAAATATGTAACCTGTATTAGCACAATGAAAAAAAAAAAAAAACTTATTTTTTTTTTTTTTTCCCCCAATAAGGGTTAAAAGGCAATTGTTTTTCAAAAAAAAAAAAAAAAAAAAAAAAAAAAAAAAAAAAGAAACCCAAAAAAAAAAAAAATTTTTAAAAACTTGGTTTGGGAAAAAACTTTAAAGGAAAAAAATACTGACTTGCTCATAGTGGATTTATGACAGGAGCATACCCACCCAAAATCTCAAGCAGTATCCCAGGAATGGAACTAGTCCCTCAGAACGTCTCAACCATCCTTTATCTGTAACTCCAAAGAGATATGTATTCGTTGGGGATAACAATTTTTTCTACAGAGTTATACATAGAGAAAGAAGCCTCTATGACAAGCTGCATAAAAAGTTGATGGATCATACTACTTTTTAATTCGCTTGTTAGAGTTGCCAGATAACACTGAGTGTATCTAAGGGGATGCATGAAACAGTCTTTCCTAGCTGAGTCAGTTCTAGTTGGACGTCTTTCAACAGCACAGTAATCATAAGTGGCGAACAGAAATCTAAGAACAAGCAGTAACAAGGGTGGCAACTGATCGCTTCTGCTGCAAATATTGAACGATCTTCAGGCGTGTCTATATTAAAGATTCATTCATGTGTCTACTAGTGGTAAAAGTTCGCCATGGCTGAGCCCCATAGGAAAGAGTGGAGCTTATAACTTCCCTGATCTGCTACCTGAGCAAGTGGAATATTGTCAAGAAGTTTTAATGCCATTGACTTAAAACAACATGGGGAAATTGTACATTTTTACTTATGGAACAGTAGTTGATATATAGAAGAGAAGTGATGAAAGGTGATCCTTATTAAAGCATGATTTCTTTCACATTTCCACAGAGTGCACTTTACTTCATAAAACAGAGACCATGTTTCAAAATCTCTGTGTGAAGTTTTGTCAATTTTATTTATTTTCATTATGTCTCCCTTCAATTCATCCTATGACTTTTCCTAACTTAGAGGCGCCTCCCAAAGATCTGCGTTTAATGAGAAGACTTATTCGTTTTTTCGCTCCCCAGGTGACCCAAAAAAGACCATTGACACAGAAGCAAGCCCTAATATTTTTATTGCTTTTGTGCTTCATTGCTGTTTGCTGTAGCTTAAGGCCAAAAAAGAATTCAAGGTATGAAAAACCAAGAGATGGCACATGCAGGCCCATAGCTGAATTATGTTGTTAACGGAAAGGAAAAATGATTCAATGATACTGTTAAAAGAACAGTAAGGAGCGACTTTATTCGGGGACTAGTCATAGTCTAGGCCACGAGGAATCCCTGCCAGTAGGGCAGAGAGATGGGGCGCTCAACTCTGAAAACAGCATGGCAAGTGGCGCAATTATGACCAAGGAGCCACCATGAGTGGATAAGAAGGAAAATGTAGCTAGAGGGAAAATCATCTGAGGGAGTAACAGGGCATCTGCGTGGCCTAAATCTTATCTAATAGGATTCTGCTGAATATCAGGCGGACAGGGCTGACCAGACCAACCACCTGGCGTGGTCAAGAAAATGAGCAACCCTGATTAGTGGTTTTGTCGTCTCGGTTGTCTCGTTGTTTGGGGGGGTGGGGGCCGGTGAGGGCAAGCTTAGCATATCAAGGCATGTGGATTCGCGTAGGTTGGCGTCGAGCCTAGCCTCACAGCAACCTCTCAACTCCTGCGCGATCAAGCCGGATCCTCCTGCCTCAGCCTCCCGAGTAGCTGGGACTACAGCATGCGCCACCGATGCCCACGATGTAGATGTATAAGTATATATATATAATAAAGATAAATAATACATAATATTTTTTTTTTTTTTTTTGCTGCCAATTAAGTTCTCCTATTTTTTTAGTAGTGACGAGTGGTCTGCTCTTGCTCAGGCTGTTCGAACTCGACTGACCGTGAGCCGATCCCCCGCCTCGCCTCTCAGAATGCGTAGATGACAGGCGCCTGAGCCACGGCGCTCCGGCCAGAATAGTTAATTAAACTGTACTAATTGTTTTAAAGCCACTGAAAGTTGAGGTGGGTTATTTACAACAACGCATAGAATAAGCGTAACGATTTGGCTAGTTATGCAGTGTAACATTTTTTTTTCATAGTCTCATGATTTAAGAAGGTATAAATAGCTAAGCAAATGAAGTTTAATTATATAACAAGGAGACTGTGGAAGCTATTAAGTGTGATAAGTATGTAGCTGTCAACACGTGTTAGGAATGGCACCATGTTTGGCTATAGCTTGGTAGAAGCAGCATGGACCATGGAATGAGGAAATTCTGGGCTTCAATCCCAGCTGTACCAGCTTCTAATCAATAATCTTGGGTAAATTAACCAACTTGCTCGGGCCACTACTATACAGTGGTGAGATCTCTAGGTAAATGATATTCTCTAAAAAAATCATCCCATATAAAAATATTACCCAGGCTGGGCATGGTGGCTCACACCTATAATCTTAGCACTCTGGGAGGCTGAGGCAGAGGTCGTCCAGGTTAAGTTGACTAGCCTGAGCAACGAGCGACGATCCCCAGTCTCTACAAATAGAAAGAATGGTGAAAGCTAAAATATATGGAAAATCCGGGCCATCGGTGGCCATGCTGTAGCCCAGCTACTCAGGAGGCGAGGCAGGCAGGATCGACTTGAGCCCAGGAGTTGGAGGTTGCTGTGAGCTAGGCTGACGCCACGGCACTCTAGCCCAGGCAACAGAGTGAGACTCTGTCTCAAAAAAAAAAAAAAGAAAGAAAAAAGAAATATTTGGATAACATCTATAAAGTGCTTTGAATTTCCTGGAGAACTAAAAACTCTAAGCCAAAACAGGATGTGGAATTTTTTCAGGAATACAAAATCTTTGATTTTATACTCCTAAGTGTGGCTGAAAATAGGCATGTGGTATTTGGATTTTTATTTTATTTTATTTTTTTTCTACTTGTAAGCAATCTGCAAAGGTATTTGGATTTTTAAAGGTAAGAAGGAATGCAGTCATACACCCCTGTCATCCTGAAGAATTCCTGTTATTAACTCAAAACATAATTGAGTTTTGCCTCCCATTATTGCGTGGGAGGCAAATATTCATTAGTGTAAAAAGGTAAAGTCAGGCTGCTAAGAATATTCAGTTAATTAAATCTGTGTGCATATTCCTTATTCATTAAAATCTAAAAGCAATATTTTTGTTAATATTTAGATGAACAAATCGAGTTAATTCTAGTAGCTATAGAGAGTTAGAAATGGGAAGTTGGCTTAATAATGAAGCTGCTATCTCCTAGACCTCATTATATTTCTACATGGAAAAAAAACCTTGACAAACCATTTCTATTTCTGCTACAGGTTGGGTTATGCAAGAATCTCCCGCGCTCAACTGAGTGATTCTGAAATTCAGATGGCCAAGTTTAGGATCCCCGATGACCCCGTTAATTATAGAGACAACCAGAGAGTGGTCATAGACCAGCGAGAAGTTCCCGAGGAAATCCATTTTAATCCCAGGTGAGCAAGTTCCTTTATGTTGTGCTACAACTATGAGCTACTGCATTCCTTCTACAGAACCTACGTATCACCTCCAAATGAGCTGGAAATTATATTTGGTTCTAGTCCCTGCTCTCTGGAATTGAGAAACAAGTTGTATGCCCAACCTCAGTAAAAAAAAACAACAAAAAACCCCAAAACATCATCATCATCAACACTACAATTTCTATTTTATTTATTTATTTATTTATTTTTTCGATACAGAGTCTCACTCTGTTGCCCAGGCTAGAGTGCCGTGGCATCAGCCTAGCTCACAGCAACCTCAAAGTCCTGGGCTCAAGCCATCCTCCTGCTTCAGCCTCCGGAGTAGCTGGGACTACAGGCATGCGCCACCATGCCCAGCTGATTTTTTCTATATATATATTTTATTTTTTTTTTTTTTTTGGACATGTGTTAAGAGGATATATATATATATTTTATTTGACCAATTCATTTCTTTCTATTTTTAGTAGAGACGGGGGTCTCGCTCTTGCTCAGGCTGGTGTCGAACTCCCGACCTTGAGCGATCCTCCCGCCTCGGCCTCCCAGAGTGCTGGGATTACAGGCGTAAGCCACCGAGCCTGGCCAACACTACAATTTCTAATACTGAGTGCTACTGTGCCCCAGACCCTGTTCTAGGTGCTTGCTTTGCTATCTCAATTAATCCACATCGGCTGGTACTCTTGTTAGCCCATTTCACAGATAAGGAAGCTGAGGCTGAGGAACACAAAGTACCGTCGCTGGGGTTGCGTGGCTGCTCGGGGTTGGAGCTAGTTAGTGGGAAGGGAGTCTGCTGGCATCCCTGGGTTACTGGAATCCTCAGCTCTGGCTGCACGTGAGGTTCACGTGGGGGGCTTTTAAAAAATACCATTGTCTGGGCCCCTGCCTAGACCAATTCATCAGGAGCTCCTGGGGTGGGTCCTGGGCTTTGGGATGGAAAAATATTCTTTCCAGGTTATCCGAATGTGCAGTTAGGATTGAGACTACAGAGCGTGGATAGATACTTCATTTCCATCACAGGGATTCTACCATGTGAAATATATTGGGTTTTCTTTTCTTTAATTTTTGATAGAAGTTATCTGAGAAATCTATTTGCAGCAAAACATATGATTTGGAGTATGTGCATTTTCTCCCCCATAACTGGGTAATGAGAAGAAACTTCCATAAAAAAACAAACACAGAACACGTCCCATACATTATTATTATTGGACATTTCTATTACTTTTACCAGCTAATAGCTAGAGAAATTTCTCATTTTGTTGGAGGGAAAAAAACATTTCTCTACTCTCTTTTTCTTCCTTGTCCCTCCTTACGATAAGAAAAAATTGTACCAAAGTGTAGGCAGTGATTGAGAAGAGCTACAACCAAATTTTGATTTGCTTCAATTCCTGTATTTATCTTGCCCTGTGTAAGTGTACCATGATTGACAAGAGGCTGGGCTCTTGTCATCTGCCTGGTTCAAGTCCTCATTTTTTCCAGTAAACAGCTGGGTAAATTTGCACCAGTTGCTTACACTCTCTAAGCTTCCAGTCCTCCGTCTAAAAATGGGAAAGACAGTAGTGCCTATACCCTAAGGTGTTTTGAGGTTTTAGTGACACTTAAAGCTCTTAGAATCATGCACATCAAATGCTCAGTGTTAAACCATAGTTGCAATGGCAATAATAGTATTCGTAGTAGCAATAGTAGAGGTATTTTTTATTTTTTTGAGACAAGAGTCTCACTCTGTCGCCCGGGCTAGAGTGCTGTGGCATGAGCCTAGCTCACTGCAACCTCCAACTCCTGGGCTCAAACGATCCTCCTGCCTCAGCTCCCGAGTACTGGACTACAGGCATGCGCCACCATGCCTGGCTAATTTTTTCTATATATATATTTTTAATTGGCCAATTGATTTCTTTCTATTTATAGTAGAGACAGTTGCTAAGGCTGGTTTCGAACTCCTGACCTCGAGCAATCCTCCCGCCTCGGCCTCCCAGAGAGCTAGGACACCTAGCTTGGTAGAGGTGTTAATAAAATAGAAAGTTTCCCTCCTTTTGCTGAAGGAGATGACTTCTTAAATGGAAGATAGAAGATCTGGGAAGAAAAAGATTTTCTGGTTTCCTTATTCTTCACATACCAGGAATGTCGAGAAATTCAAATAAAATATTTTTGGCTAACTACAACTGCAGGTTGATCCAAACCAACTGTGAAAGGAGCTAGATCTGCTTTCCCACTCATTTTAATTATGACAATAACAAAGGCATAAGTAGAAATCCTGCCTTAATTTAAAAATCGTGGTGAAGCCGGCACGGCGGTGCAAACCTATAGTAGTTCCAGCTACTTGAGAGGCTGAGGCAGGAGGATCCCTTGAGCCCAGGAGTTTGAGGCTGCAGTGAGTTATGCTTGTGACATTGCACCCCAGCCTGGACAACAGAGCAAGACCCCATCTCAAAAAAGAAGAAGAAGAAAAATAAATAAAAATTGTGGTGTGAACATTTAAGATCTGCTCTTTCAGCAATTGTCAAAGTAATGTGTATTTGTTAACTATAGTCACAGTGCTTTGCTAGATCTCGAGAACCTTTTCATCCTGTCTAATTAAAACTTTGTATCCTTTCGCCAATATGTCCCCAACCACCATTCCACCCTCTATTTCTATGAATTCCACTGTTTTAGATTCCACATATAAATGAGATTATGAAGTATTGTTCTTTATGTGCCTAGATTATTTCACTTAGCATACTGTTCTCTAGGGCCATCTATGTTGCTACAAATGCTAAGATTTCCTTCTTTTTCAAGGCTGAGTAGTATTCCTTATTTATACGTGTATATGTATACATGCCGCATTTTCTTTATCCATTCATCTGTCAGTGGACACAAGTTAATTCTGTATCTTGGCTAGCGTGAATAACACTGCAATGAACACAAGAGTGCAGATATTTGTTTGACATTAGTTTCTTTCCTTTGGATATATACCAAGAAGTGGCATTGGTGGATCATATGGTAGATCTAATTTTAATTTTTCGAGAATCTTCCATAACGTTTTCCGTAATGGCTGTGCTAATTTACATTCCCACAACAGCGTACAAGCGTTCCTTTTTCTTCATGTCCTGGCCAACAGTTATCTTTTGTCTTTTTTTTTTTTCCTTTTTTATTCTTTTTGTGTTTTTTGTTTGTTTGTTTTTTTATTTTTGTTTTTGGTTTTTTGTCTTTTTTTTTTGTTTTCTTTTTATTCTTTATTTATCTTTTGTCTTTTTGACACCAGCCATTGTAACAGGTGTAAGGTGATACCTCATCATTGTGATTTTAATTTGCATTTCCCTGATTAGTGATGTCGAGCATTTTTGTTTCTATACCTGTTGGCCATTTGGATGTCTTCTTCTGAGAAATGTCAGGTCCTTTGCCCATCTTATAACTGGATTGTTTGGTTTTCTTGCTATTAAGTTGTTTGAGCTCCTTATATATTTTGGGTATTAACCCCTTAATCAGATACATTTTGAACATCTCAAACCTCAAAAATCCCCAATCCAGAACTTTCTGAGTGCTGACATGAAATGCTCATTTCGAGCCCTAGGGGTTACAGGCTCTGGCCTGCACGCCTGTCCTCTGACCCCCCCAAGTTCAATCCCTGACTATATGCCAGGGAGAAGCGTCCTGGCCGTGGGTTGCTTGCGGAGTGCTCGGGTAGGGTTCCTGTCCCCCCACTTCCCGTTGTGCCCTGGTCTCCTGGAACAGCCAGGCGGGCGGCTCGGGGGAGGGCTGGCAGGCAGGGAGCTCAGAGTCCAAGCACCCTCAGTCCCCTGCGGAAGCCTGGGCGTGGTGGGTGTGCCGACAGAGGGAAAGCAGCCACTCCTCAGAGCCCTGGCGCCATTGTCCCTTGGGGCGCCCATGCCAACTCATGTGGGAACCGCCATGGCTGCATTGGCAGCTGAGGTTCTGAGTAGGAGGAGGAGGAGGAGGGTCTGAAAGGAGGACAGCTGGGACTCTGGTCCCCTTTGTCCTGAGGGCCCCCCTGGACTCTCCTCTCCCCTGCAGGCAGCCGGTCCTGAATGTCCAAGCTCTGGGGCCACACAGCTCCCCACTGTGACCCACTGGCCGCCCCCCATCCAGGCCACCGCAGTCTGGGCAGGTGTTGGGGAATGTTTGTGTGGGGAACAGGGACAAGAACACTGCAGGCCCGAATCTCCCCGGGGAGGGCAAAGACGCACAGTGGTGCAGAAGCAGTAGGACACCCACTGTCCCAGGTTGGGTCTGTGGTGACAGGAAGCGACCTCGAGGGGGCTGCCGGCCCAGGGCTCTGTTCTCAAGAAGGTCCCAATCCCGGCAGGCAGGCTGTCCAGCAGTTCAGGAGCCTGCAGCCTGCCGGAGGGAGGACAAAAACCAAACACCTCCACCACCCTTTCCCCACCAAATTCCTCCAGGGCTCACCCCTGCCAGCATCTTGCCCTTTCTTGTTCTGCTCTGCAACTTCTTCCTCTGGAATCTCTAGTAGGTTCTGGCACTTTCCCCGCAGAATTACGCCGGGGCCGTGTTTCTTCCATCTAAAAAACTCTTCCTTCTTTCTGGGATGATCTGGTGACTCATGCCTCTAGTCGGCCATCTTGCCTCCCCTCCCAACACCCCCAGCCAATAATTCTTAAACAGTTTGCCCTTCTGGAATGATCCACAAGCATGGAAAGAGCACTTTGGAGGTTACAGTTTTAGTCAGCCGTCCCCACGTGCATGATTTCCTTTTTACGTGTTCATTTGCTATTTTTTTTTTTTTTTTTTTTTTGAGACAGAGTCTCACTTTATTGCCCAGGCTAGAGTGAGTGCCGTGGCGTCAGCCTAGCTCACAGCAACCTCACACTCCTGGCTCAAGCGATCCTCCTGCCTCAGCCTCCCAAGTAGCTGGGACTACAGGCATTCGCCACCATGCCCGGCTAATTTTTTGTATATATATATTAGTTGGCCAATTAATTTCTATTTATAGTAGAGACGGGGTCTCGCTCTTGCTCAGGCTGGTTTCGAACTCCTGACCTCGAGCAATCCGCCCGCCTGGGCCTCCCAGAGAGCTAGGATTACAGGCGTGAGCCACCGCGCCCGGCCTCATTTGCTATTTTATAAATTTATCACATCCATTCTGGCTTCATGGTAGATAAGTAAAATCACAATGGATTAGGGTTGAAATTTTACATAAGAACATACATTTCTGAATGGTTTTTACATATGAATGACCTTTTTTTTTTCAGATTTGGATCCTACAAAGAAGGACACAATTATGAAAATAACCATCATTTTCATATGAATACTCCTAAATATTTTTTATGAAATATTTAAAACAAGAAGTTATGGGCTGAGCAAGTCTTAGGAAAAAAGCATGTAAAATCAAAAGAACAGATTAATGAAAGCTGGAAAATACACACAAAGAACCTCAACTTTTAAGAACTTCTAAGCCGTGGGAAATTCCATCCATTTGTAAAATACGTGTCGCCTAATAAAGCATTTTTCCAAATTGTTTTGCTTAAATTTTTGATGAAAAATACAATGTGGGGTAATATAAGGAGGTTTTACTCTTAGAGATAAAACAATAAAAAATGTCAGGAGTTCGAGACCAGCCTGAGCAAGAGCGAGACGCCATCTCTACTATAAATAGAAAGAAATTAATTGGCCAAATAATATGTATAGAAAAATTAGCCGGGCATGGTGGCGCATGCCTGTAGTCCCAGCTACTCGGGAGGCTGAGGCAGGAGGATCGCTTGAACCCAGAAGTTTGAGGTTGCTGTGAGCGAGGCTGACGCCACGGCACTCACTCTAGCCCGGGCAACAAAGCGAGACTCTGTCTCAAAAAAAAAAAGAAAGAAAGAAAAAAGAAGCAGTGGGATACAGTTTTGTGTTTAGAGGAGAATGTATAGCCTTAAATGCATGGATTGGGAAAAAGAAAGGCTGAAAATGAGTTACGTGAGTACCATGGGGAGAAGTTTGAGAGAGAACGGAAAATTAAACCCCAAAGAGAGTATCGAGGTAAGGCAATAAGGATAAGAGCAGAAATTAATGCAGTGGCAAACAAACAATTACAAGAAATAAAAGCAACAAAAGCAAAAGGTGGTTCTTTGAAAAAAACCAACAAAATTGAAAACTCTTTGGTAGGACTCAAGAAAAGAAGGAAAGAGAGAAGGCAAAAATGACCAATGTCTGGCATGAAAAAGTGGACGCCACTATGGATCTTAGGAACCTTATAAAGAAAGTGAAGACATGAACGTCAGAGTCTGTAGACTAAGCAAAGCAGGTGGCGAATGGGCCTCTTCCAATCAAGCCAACGGAAGCCTGAAGGGAACAAAAAGGCGGAGTAAGGGAGAATTCACTCTCTCTGCCTGTCTGTGAGCTGGGACATTAATCTTCTCCCGCCTCTGGGTGTGTCCTGGGGTGGCTCGCAGGCCACCAGACTGAGACTGGAACTACACCCTCAGTCCTCCTGGGTCTCCAGCTTCCTGATTGCATCTCACAGAACTTCTCAGCCTCCATGACTGCACAAGCCAATTCCTTACACTAAATCTCCATCTCTTTTTGTCTCTGTTTGTCTCTGTCTCTCTGTCTCTCTCTCTCTCTCACACACACAATTGTTTTTGCTTCTCTGGAGAATCCAGACTAATACACTATCACAACTGAAAAAAGAATGTGATATGAAAGGAAGATTATAGGCCAATCTCCATCATGTCCATAGATGTAAAACTCCTAAACAAAATATTAGCAAACCCAAATCCAGAGTTGTATAAAAAGTACTAGTAGGCCGGGCGCGGTGGCTCACGCCTGTAATCCTAGCACTCTGGGAGGCTGAGGCGGGCAGATTGCTCGAGGTCAGGAGTTCGAAACCAGCCTGAGCAAGAGCGAGACCCTATGTCTACTATAAATAGAAAGAAATTAATTGGCCAACTAATATATATATAGAAAAATTAGCCAGGCATGGTGGCGCATGCCTGTAGTCCCAGCTACGCAGGAGGCTGAGGCAGGAGGATCGCTTGAGCCCAGGAGTTGGAGGTTGCTGTGAGCTAGGCTGACGCCATGGCACTCTAGCCCAGGCAACAGAGTGAGACTCTGTCTCAAAAAAAGAAAAAAAAGAAGCACTGATGAAGTTTTCACATAATTAATTAGAATACCAAATTCTCTGAATATTTTTGTTAATGGAGATTATTTTTTCCAAAACATTCTGAAGTGAATGTAGCCATAGAAAGGAAATCATTGTTCCAAATTCCTCAGCCAAGTGAATAACTTAGTCTTACTTTTCTTAGCTCGAATTTGCCTTAGTATTCCTTACTCACAAACTCCTCATTCTCATTAAAGTAACAAGAAGTTGAACGTGTTCCTCTTAATTTCCACCACTGTCTCGTGATGGCAATCGACTTTTTTGCTTTCTGTTTTTTAGAGATGGGGGTATCACTGTGTTGCCCAGGCTGGGGTGCACTGGCTATTCACAGGCGCGATCATAGTGCACTGCAGCCTCCAATTCCAAGGCTCACGTGATCCTCCCACCTCAGCCTCCCAAGTAGCTGGGACTACAGCCGCCTGGCTTGACTTTGCATCCTTAAACAGATAGGAAAGGCAGATGAGACCAAGATTAATAGTTGCAGACTCCTGTGTTCAGTGACTACATTTGTTCTTTTGGATACCATTGATAATGCATGTTGCTTTGTAGTCTACAGGTCCTTTTCCATATAAAATTTCTTTTTGGTCCTCACAATCATCTTTTTAGCTAATGTTCTGGTTATGTATTCTTGCAGAATAAACTATATGTCGTGACTCTGTGTGTTAGGGATTTGGGCAGAGCTTGGCTGGGCAAGCCTTCTGCTCCAGGTGGCATTGACGAGGGTCACTCACTGGCATTTGGGTGGTGGCTGGGCTGCACTGGGCGGTCCAAGCTGTCTCCACTCACGTGACCATGCCTCAGCAAAGATAGCAGGGAGGCAGGACTCAGCCGGGCCCCTTGGTTGCTTTGTTCATGCAGCTGGACTTTACATACGGTGGCTCAGGGCTTCCAAAGCAAGTGTCCCAGGGGATAGAACATGGAAACTTCCGGAATAGTAAGGCCTGCTCTTAGAAATTGGGACAATGTCAGTTCTGCCGTGTCCCATTCGCCAAAGTAGTTGCTAACTTCAAGGAGAGGGGACTGAGACCTCACACCTCAAATAGAAAAGGTGTCGGAAAGTGTGTGTGGCCACCTCTGACCTGCCACCGCTGCATTTCAGGAGGTGGCATTTGCATTTTCTAGATGAGGAAAGTAGGACTCAGGCTCTGGAGTGACTTGCCCAGAATGGCACATCCTCTAAATGGGGAGGGTGGGACACTAGCCCAGGACCACCGATTCCAAGACCAGTGTGTTCTCCACCCCACGGGTGTGCATATACTGCCGGGCATCTCGCTGGATGCAAGTAAATACCTTCTGAAGAATAGAATATGCCAACGCTGCTTCTTTTTGCCTTTCCTTTTTAAAAGTTACTGGGGGAGTGCAGACCATGTAAGGGCCCAGATGGGCCCTCTGTACCCGTGTTTCTGATGCTACACGTCCTCAGTGCTTGTATGTTTCCATTTGACCCTTCCCTTCCCTTCCCTTCCCTTCCCTTCCCTTCCCTTCCCTTCCCTTCCTTCCCTTCCTTCCCTCCCTTCCCTTCCCTTCCCTTCCCTCCCTTCCCTCCCCTCCCTCCTCCCCTCCCCTCCCCTCCCCTCCCCTCCCCTCCCCTCCCCTCCCCTCCACTTCCCCTCCCTCCCCTCCTTTCTTTTCTTTTCATTTTTGAGTCAGAGTCTCACTCTGTTGCCCAGGCTACAGTGCTGTGGCATCAGCCTAGCTCCAACTCCTGGGCAACCTCAGACTCCTGGGCTCAAGCGATCCTCCTGCCTCAGCCTCCCGAGCAGCTAGGACTACAGGCATTCGCCACCATATCTGGCTAATTTTTTTCTATATATTTTTAGTTGGCCAATTAATTTATTTTTTTTAGCAGAGACAGGTTCTTGCTCTTGCGCAGGCTGGTCTCGAACTCCTGACCTTGAGCGATCCTCCCGCCTCGGCCTCCCAGAGTGCTGGGATTCCAGGCGTGAGCCACCGTGCCCTGCCTGACATATTTCTTTTCTGAGATGAGAATGAAGTGAGGGAGAAGAGAGAAAAGGCAAAAGGCCTTTCTCTAAGAGTTGGGGGTCAGGATGACTGTAGCAGTGCCAGTTGCTGCCTGTAGTATATGCTGCTGGGTTAATACTGCCTGGAGTTCTGAACAAGCAGCCCATGGAAGAAGCACCATTTATTTGAGATTAATGGGATGGAAAACTAGACAGGAAATAAATAGCTACGGGGCAAAGAAGAAAGTATGAACTATTTTATTCACCAATACAAATCAGTCCTTTGCAATTTGGTTTTAAATCGAGATGTTATCCCCAAAAAAGCAAGAGCATGATTCACAGCCGTTTTCCTGCACATTACAAATAGCTTTTGGAAAAGCACCTTCCATTTGCTCTGTTGCTCAGATTTGGTTGCAGGAAATCCCGGGGTTATCTCTGGCAGAAGGCATTTTGTCTTTACTAATAAGCTATATTTTTCACTTTCCTTTATCTCAAAATCTCAAAAGATGCTTTCTGTCTCTTCCAGTGAAGAAATGGCGAATGCTAAGTCTTTGCTTATTACAGTGGAGCCTACTGTTATAGTACCTTTTAGTTTTAAATTTGTGCTCTAAGTCTTTGCAAACACCTTGTCTTTCCTCTTTCAAAGTGCTGGGATTTTGTTTTATTTACTGCAGACAAACCTGCCTCATTTTTCACCAAATGGCAGAAGCACTGAAGAATACCTTGGAAAATCTACATCGTAAGTGAGCAGAGGGGAAAAATTCCCTTCCGGGTGCTTCTGAATGTGAGCACACTGAATGGTGTATTGCTAATGCAGAGCCAGGACTTCAAAGCTACAGCAAAATTAAAAGTTCAATCAAAGCGCTGTGCACTCAGAACATTTTTGCTTTGTGGAAATCAAGTGCCCCATGTATTTGCAGTGGATAGAATCTTCATGAAAGGAACGACAGGAGTGCTAGGTTGCATTACTTAAAAGTGATGGTAGCTGTTATCACAAAGGGGGGGAAAAATGAAGGCAGAGGAAAGATTACAGGAGTAGAGTTAGCTGAAAATAAAAGGCAGAGGGCCTGAGCACCACAGGGGTTTATTAGTGGGACCATAGGCTGTGCCCATCTGAGGCGTCTCTCTATTATCTCCTTTCCTGGCCATGTCTGAGATTTGGGGAATTTCTCTAGTTTCTGAAGTGCTACCCTAACCTACCTCTCTGATAAGGAAAGCCAGCATGGTTCACTTTAGTGCAGTGGATTCCAAACACAGGACAGTTCTCTGGAGTACAGGAAAATATGAATTAGAGCGACTATCGTATTCCACTGTAGTTTAAATTTCTATTTGGGGGGGGGGGGATTGTGTTTATAACAACGTTATTCAAAGGATCCAAGGAGGCAGGCGGTGTCCACACCACTCTGACTTGGTCGCATTTTCTTCTCTTATTCCCTCTTGCACTCATATGGCCCTTGTGATGGCATGAGGCTCCCTGGGAGATCCAGAATAATCCAGAATATTAATAATCATCTCAGGAGCCTCAACTTGATCACATTTCCAGAGTCCCTTCTGCCACGTAAGGGGACATATTCATGGGTTCTGAGGATGGGGACATGGATCTGCAGGGGAGTGGAAGGGGCATTGCTCTACCCACTGAACGCACATTTATCTGCTCTAGTCGTCGCCCGGTCCCATGAGGTAGGTGGGCTTACTTGGCCGTTTAGAGACAAGCAACTCTTGCAGAGAGAGGTCAAATATTAACAATATTGCGTCCATGGATGGTGGGAAAAAAAAAAAAAAAACAATGTTCAAACCTTGGCTGTTTCATCCCAAAATCCAGGTGTGGGACTTTTTTTTTTTTTTTTTTTTTTTGCAACCCCACCACCTGCTTTCAATAGGTTTGCTGGCCCGCGTCTTGGGGAAGAAAGTGGTGGATATGAGCTGATAGATGTAGTATCTTTCTGTCTCTCCTCTTATCTGAAAATTGTGGAGAAAAATGCAGAGTCTCTCGAAAGCCTTGGATCCTGAGATGCAGGGAAGAAAAGCAACGTAATTCTACAATCTTATTCCCCAACGTTGGTTATTCAGCAGCTTCATGAGGTAGCCGGGTCTCAAGCCAAGAGAGTCCGGCTTATTAAAAGGGGCAGGAGTATCACAAAGCCTCAAATACCAGCTTCTTTAAACTAATAGCAGCAGTAGCAAAACTAATAGCAGCAGTAGCATGATATACATGAATCTGAAATTCTTCAGGCCCTGGGTTGGGGGGAAGGATATGGCAAAAAGCAGTTGCCCTTAATTTGGGAAAATATAAGACCAATGGGAAAAGAGACTGGTCCTGGATGACAAAATGCAGAGGGTTCAAGTTGCCTGACACCCCTCGACAGGGCCCTAGTGGATATTGACCACAGGGCGGAAGCCATCTTTAACTGCAGCCATAGGCTTTCAGATCTGGTTCAGACCTTTAAAGATAAGTGCCTTATCTATTTTTTAATTAATTAATTTTTTTCAGCATATTATGGGGCTACAAGTGTTAAGGTTACGTATATTGCCCATGCCTCCCCCCACCTTGAGTCAGAGCTTCAAGCGTGTCTATCCCCCAGTTGGTGCACATCTCACTCATTATGTTTGTATATACCCATCCCTTCCTCCCCCACCTGCCCGACACCCGATAAATGTTATTCCTATATGTCCACTTAGGTGCTGATCCATTAATACCAATTTGCTGGTGAGTACACGTGGTGCTTGTTTTCCATTCTTGGATACTTCACTTAGTAGATGGGTTCCAGCTCTAGCCAGGAAAATACAAGAGTGCTAGATCACCGTTGTTTCTTATAGCTGAATAGTACTCCATGGTATATGTGTACCACGTTTTATTAATCCACTCATGTATTGATGGGCACTTGGGTTGTTTCCACATCTTTGCAATTGTGAATTGTGCTGCTACAAACATTCGAGTGCAGGTGTCTTTTTCATAGAGTGACTTTTGTTCTTTGGGTAGATGCCCAGTAGTGGGATTGCTGAACAATGGAAGATCCACTTGTATCGCTTTAAGGTATCTCCATATTGCTTTCCACAGAGGCTGAACTAGTTTGCAGTCCCAGAAGATAAATGCCTTATCTTAAATGTGGCTCACAGACACTCAATATGCCAAGACACAAGAAAGCTGCTGATTCTTTACCTTATAAAATCAATCCTTCTAGCTATCCATAGCCAAATTCTAGACAAATTGGAGCCATCTATTAACAAAAAGCCCAGGGCTACATATGCTCAGGGCCAGTGGGAATCCATGAGTGAACTCAGAGGGTGATGAGAGAAAAGTGAAAAGAGAAAAGCCAGCCTGTCCCTCAATTCTTCACCACTTTATCCAACATGGTGGACGAAAAGACCACTGGTAAAAGAGTTTGTCATCTCTTGATTCGTGGAATGTTTATTGAGTTATCCGCTGGAGACGGTGCTGGCTAAACCACCAAAGGCAGAGCCCTTGCTCTGAAGGTGAAGGGGCCATACAGAGTAGAAGTTTCTATCGTGGAAGGATGGGGACTGGCAGAGACAATTGTTCTCTGCCAGGTGAGACCACATGTTCCCTGGGAGTGGGGGTCTCCCTGATTGGCAACCAAAGCCATGTTTGATACATGGCGGAGTGAAGAGTTCCCCCAAAGAAGAAAGGGTCCTTCCCAGCCACAGAGGGGAGGACTAAGCAGAAATGACAGCAGATGTCCCCTGACCGTCAGGCCCATCCACGTGCCACGCGCTGGCCACCTCTGTGTCTTCTTTGTTTCCTCACCTGTGCAATGAGGAACGTGCTGAGCTCACCCCTGAGGTCATCCAGCCCCAGCGTTCCATTTCCTTTGTTCTGGTTCTGGTTCTCCGGCCAAGTTCTGTCCTAGCGCTGGAGGTGGTGAGCACGAAAAGACATGACCGTGGGCGGCCTCAGTCAAGGCAGGCTTGATGGAGGTGAGCGGCCGGGCCGTGAGGGCGGGAGGGGAGTTGTTCAGGGAAGGAGGGGGGAGGGGAGACTTCACAGCCTGGCTTGGGGAGTACGTTAGGGGTTGGCGTCCAGCCATTGCTTGCTGCGAAGATGTTTGTAAGGGCCGATATCCTAACTCCTCTATGTTTTCCCCTAACTTAGTTTATTCGAGAACAGCAAGCCAGTCATCCACGAGGATCTGAGGGAATGAGACATTGGGCAGGTAAGTGCTGATACGGGCAGGGTAATCAGAATAGGCCCGGAATACAAGCATCTCCAGGGCAGCCGAACTGGGCTGATCCCGTGAGGTCTAAGCCAGGGGTCCTCCAACTTCTTAAACAGGGGGCCAGTTCACTGTCCCTCAGACCATTAGAGGGCTGGACTATCATTTAAAAAAAAAAAAAAAACTATGAACAAATTCCTATGCACACTGCACATATCTTATTTCGAAGTAAAAAAACAAACGGGGCAAAAACACCCGCATGTGGCCCGCGGGCCATAGTTTGAGGACACCTGCTCTATGCTTTGCAAGTGTGCGGGGTGGCGGGGAGGTGGTCGTTTGTGCTCCAAGAGCACAAACTAAGAAGGATCCAGGGAGGCAGGGAACAGAGAAGTGTCTCCCTTCTATAGGATGCTAAAAAAAGGCATGAGGCTCTTACACACCAACTGGCCCCAGACCTTTCCCAGGATCATTAACATAGAATAGGCCTGCGCGGTGGCTCGCACGACTGTCATCCTAGCACTCTGGGAGGCCGAGGCGGGAGGATTGCTAGAGGTCAGGAGTTCGAAACCAGCCTGAGCAAGAGCAAGACCCCGTCTCTACTATAAATAGAAAGAAATTAATTGGCCAACTAAAAATATGTAGAAAAAATTAGCCGGGCATGAGCTAGGCTGACGCCACAGCACTAACTCTAGCCTGGGCAATAAAACAAGACTCTGTCTCTAAAAAAAAAAAAAAAAAAAAAAAAACTAATTTAGGCTGATTGTGGTGGCTCACGTCCTGTAATCCTAGCACTCTGGGAGGCCAAGGCGGGAGAATCGCTCAAGGTCAGGAGTTCAAAACCAGCCTGAGCAAGAGCGAGACCCCTGTCTCTACTAAAAATAGAAAGAAATAATTGCCAACTAAAAATATAAAAAATGAAGCCAGGCATGGGTGCCGATGCCTGTAGTCCCAGCTACTCGGGAGGCTGAGGCAGGAGGATTGCTTGAGCCCAGGAGTTGGAGGTTGCTGTGAGCTAGGCTGACGCCACGGCACTCTAGCCCGGGCAACAGAGTGAGGCTCTGTCTCAAAAAAAAAAAAAAAAAAAAAAAAAAAAAGAAGCAATTTAGCACAGTGGTTAAAAATACAGATCCGAGCCGGGCGCGGTGGCTCACGCCTGTAATCCTAGCACTCTGGGAGGCTGAGGCGGCGGATTGCTCGAGGTCAGATTCGAAACCAGCTGAGCAAGAGCGAGACCGTCTCTACTATAAATAGAAAGATATTAATTGGCTAACTAAAAATATATAGAAAAAAATTAGCCGGCGATGGTGGCGCATGCCGTAGTCCCAGCTACTGGGAGTGAGGCAGCAAGGATTGCTTGAGCCCAGGAGTTGGAGGTTGCTGTGAGGCGAGGTGACGCCACGGCACCCACTCTGCCTGGGCAACAAGCGAGACTCTGTCTCAAAAAAAAAAAAAAAAAAAAAAAAAATACAGATCCGAAGCCAGTCTGCTTCAGTTGCATTCTCCCAGTTCTACCACTTAGCAGCTGTGTGACTTTGGGAAAGTCACTTTACCTATCTGTGCCTCAGCGTCCTCACCTGTGAGATGGGTTTTGCAAAGGCATCCACCCCCTGGCATTGCTGGGAGGATTCATGAGTCGACTTGAGTTACTTGGAACAGCACCGGCTGCAGAGCGAGTGGTATGGGAACGCGCGTGGGCATCCCTACCCCCCATCTATTCCCTGGGGATTTGACGTGTTTCCCGAAGCTAGAGCTACAAAGTGCGCGTGCAGGTTTAGAACAGACTAAGGTGGCGGGGACGGTGCCCTGGAGCCAGGAAAGGTGACTGCGAGATGGGGGGGGGGGTGAAGGACAAAACAGAAGTGGTTGTGGGGCTGGAGGCTGGACTTAGAGGCCAGACTGGCCAGACCGTGGGGCAGGGGCCAGACTGCTGGGAGGCCTCGAGCGGCCGTCCCCGGCATTTGGGGCACAAGGAGACAGTTTTTCCATGGGCCAGAGTGGAGGGGTGGGGACGAGGGGGGCGGGGCGCGGCAGGGCGGGCTGGGGCGGGGAGGCCAGCGATGGGGAGCGGCTGTAAATACAGACGAAGCTCCGCTGGCCTAGGAGGCCCCTGGAGCTGCCGTGTCTGGGGTTTAAGGAGCTGCTCAGACAGAAAAAGCAAAGGGAACCCGCCGGCAGGGGACACCCAGAGGCTGGGCGTGGGAGGCTGCAGAAAAAGCAGTTTTTATTTTTATATATACTACTAGGCCTGGGCAACAAAGTGAGACTCTGTCATCAAAAAAAAATACACTACATAAACAACTAATACCAATAAATAAAACAGAGAATCATTTAAAATAATGACGCCCTCTGATCAAAGCCTAAAACCTGGCTGCAGCCCACCTGCATTCCTAAGATTAGCTCGTTCATTGGAGTAACACAAGTACTTTTCCTTGTTAGAACATCCAGGGCTTTAGGGAACAGGTCAGTGGCTCTCAGGAATCTTTGTAATTTATATAGTGACGCAGACTTCAGTCCTGCGTGCTACTTTCCTGCCTGGTCTTGCTGGAAGTATGTGCCTGCTCTCGAGAGACATGATGGCGCGAGGGCTCTTTGTCTGGGGGACCTCCGGCGGCGCGCGCGCCGGGCAGAAGCAACGTACGCCTTCGAGCGCGCTCGCCCCAGCGGCCGGTGTCGCGGCTGGGAGCGCGGGGAGGAGAGAGAGGAGGAAAACCCTCGCGGGCTCACAGGCACACCACCACAGATCAATAGATGAAATGAAGGTGCTGGGCGTGCAGCAAGAGAGAAGGAGTGCGCTTCGCAGAGGAGGATGCCAGAGAACGACACTTTCATCTCTTCAATTTTGCTCTATTCCCAGAGTTCGAAACCTGGGTTCTAGTCACAGAACTGGCTTTTTTCAAAAAAGAAACGCACGGCCGAGGGTGGCTCGACGCTGTCAATCCCTCTAGAGCAGCTCTGGCACGGGCCTAGCGCGGGCGAGCATCGCTCAAGGGGCGTCAGGCCGCGCAGTTTTGAAAACCAGCCTGAAGCAAGAGCGAGGACCCCATCTCGTACTAAATAGAAAGATAGTTAAATGGCCAACTAATATATACTCACTGAGAAGAGAAAAAACTGAGGCTGGGCACCTGGTGGCCGGCATGCCTGTCTTAGCTGCCCCAGCTACTCGGGAGCGACGCTGAGCACGGAAGGATCGCTGTGAGCCAGGAGTTTCCGAGCGTTGCTGTGAGCTTGAGGCTGACGCCACGCGGCAGCTCCACTCTAGGGCCGTGGGCAACAGAGCGAGACTCGTCTCAGATAAATAATAAATAAATACCAATAAATAAAGTAAATAATATGAGAATAATAGTATAGTAGTCACT